CTTCCTCTATCACCTTAGGTCCACTTTTCTTTTGGTGGCCAGCCACCTTCCACAGACAAACAGAAGTGGGCACCAAAAACATTTTTTCTTCAGCGAGAAATCTCTAAACTTTAAACAGCCAGCCAGGTCCAGAGACTGTAATTACAACACTCTGGAGGTTCTCTGAGGCAGGAGGTTTACCATTTGGCTGTGGCCAGCCTGAGCTATACAGGGAGTTCCAGGCCAACCTGGGATACACAGCGAGACCGACCTAATCAGTCTCAAAACAGTTGCTAGTGTCTTTCTTTTCACTTAACAAAACGTAATGTGAAGATTTTTGATTTTATTTTTTTGAGATAGTCTCTCTACATAGCCCCTGGCAGTCCTGAAACTATGTAGACCAGGCTGGCCTCAAACTCAACAGAGATCTGTTCTCTGCCTCCAGAGTGCTGGGATTAAAGGTGTATACCACCACACAGCTCAAAAGTAAGGTTTGGGTTTTTTGTTTGTTTGTTTGTTTGGATGGTTGGTTGGTTTCGCTGTTTAACAGCCCTGGCTGTCTTAACTCTGTAGACCAAGTTGGCGTCAAACAGAAATCTGCCTGCCTCTTCCTGCTGAGTGCAGGAGTGCTAAGATTAAAGGCATGCACCAGCACTGCTGGCCTCAAATATAAGGTTTTAATAAAAAAAAAAATTTTTTTTTTTTTTTTTTTTTTTTTTGTTTTTTCGAGACAGGGTTTCTCTGTGGTTTTGGAGCCTGTCCTGGAACTAGCTCTTGTAGACCAGGCTAGTCTCGAACTCAGAGATCCGCCTGCCTCTGCCTCCCGAGTGCTGGGATTAAAGGCGTGCGCCACCACCACCCGGCTTAATAAAATATTTTTAAGTGTCTCAAATGTCAATTGTACATTAAAGCACAGAATAAAAAATAAGCACCAAAAACCCATGTCTTAAAAAAAGCCACCCGTGAGTTAGATTCAGATTATCTATGAGGGTAATTCTGAAAGGCTGACACACCCAAAACCCTTGAATCAAGAGGCTTCCAACTGCTATTATGTATTTCATCCGGAAACATTGTAAGACAACCAAAACCCACGCCATCAAACCGTAGACAACAGGAATAAAGTCCCTCCGAATTTAGTGATGGGAATCCCAAATCTTCCCTGCTTTACTAACAGAGTAAAATTTCATCTTTCTAATGTGGGTAAGAAAACCCAGGATTAAGAAATTCAGTGCTGGAGAGTTGGCTCAGTGGTTAAGCGCACTGGCTGTTCTTCTGCAAAGGATCTGGGTTTAATTCCTAGCACCCACAAGGCAGATCACAGCTGTCTGTAACTCCAGTTCCAGGGGATCTTACACCCTCACAGAGACTTGCAGGTAAAACACCAACGCACATGAAATAAATAATTCTTAAAAAATAAGGAAGTGCTGGGCGGTGGTGCCGCAGCCTTTAATCCCAGAGCCCAGGAGGCAGAGGCAGGTGGATCTCTGTGAGTTCAAGGCCAGCCTGGTCTACAAGAACAAGTTCCAGGACAGGCTCCAAAGCCACAGAGAAACCCCGTCTAGAAAAAAAACAAAAACAAAAAAAAGGAAAGAAACTAATTTTTTTTCTAGCAATACAGTAAATTTATGGATTTGTAAAATTCATTTCTAAGTGCAAACTAAAATGGATGGAATTTCCTCCAAATACTAAAGAAAACGAAGACAACCTTTTTTTTTTTCCACTTAATTTTGCAGGCTAACATCCTTTTTACTAAAAAAGTTACAAATTGCTTCTATTATAAATTTTTTGTTGTTTTGTTTTCCAAGACAGGGCTTCTCTGTGTAGCCCTGGCTGTCCTGGAACTCACTCAACAGACCAGGCTGGTCTTGAACTCACGTAGATCCACCTGCCTCTGCCTCCCAACTAAAGTTGTGTGTGTTCCCCACGCGGCTTACACAAAAGTGCTGTAGAAAGCCCTGGGGGCTATTTTTCAGCCTTCTTTAGTTGTTCAGCCCCTAACTCCAAACTGTGAGCTGCTTGCTTTCTGAGTAAATGCAAACTTATTTCTGAAGGTGGTTTAGCATGTTCTGAAAAGATTTAGTGACTCAATCACTCAAGGTTTCTACAGTTCATTTTAAGAAAGTTGAGAATATTTCCTGTCATGCACGGAACAACCCTTCACAGATTTTAAGGTGCTGAGTTCAGAAAACTAAACTTATAAAATAGGAATCGAATTGGGATATGTTCTCTTTTTAGCATTTTTCACCCTTGGAAAAAGAGACCCAGTTTTCATTTTAATCATTGGATATTTAGGATTATTAACCCGCTTCATTTTAAATCAAGTAAAAGTAAAGAACTACTATCAACCTGCCTTAAAAAAAAAAATCAAACTTGGAATCACCTGGGGCAAAGAGCAATACACATCTTTCATATGTTGTTAATAGCAACATTTTGCTGAGACCAGTTGACAGTAAACTGTGCAAGGTTTAGGTCTCACTCTCCTAGAAAAAGGCCTCTGGGGTAGGTGTAAGGAAAGTTTCATTCTCTTGCAAAGTAAATCAAATCATTTTCCTCTCTTTGAAAGTCTAAACGGCCCTTCCATCATTTACACAATTTTCTGGAAGCTAATACAAGTAAACAAATGCTGCATACCTGTTTTTAAAATGCTTTGGGTCCTTCTCCTTTGTACCAATTCTTGCCAGTGAAATGATATAAACTCTAGGCCAAAATTGCCAACCAAATTTTCAGCAGAGAGTTGGTTAAGGTAATAGTGAAATTAAACGTCTCTCATATTTAAAATTCAAGTTTGTGGTTTCAACTTATATATGATGCAAGGACTAATTGGGTTTTTAAAAGGCATAAATCATATCAAATATATTCAAAGGGACAACAAAATACAGTAATACTTTCAAATCATAATCCATATGCAACTGAGTGTGTCAAGAGTTCAATTTTAAACACTGAAAACACAGCACACACAGAAAAAAGACACCTCTACAGGTGTTCGTTTGCTTCGGATGTCAGTTGCAACTAAAAGCTTGAAAACTCCAGTGACAGACTCAAATGAGGGAGTTACGTTCAGACACAAACTAGACAAACACCACAAAATGATTCCTCAAAGAACACAAAACAGCAAACTGACTTAAATAAAAACAAACTATTTTTTTAAACCCCAGGAAGTAAAAAAATGGTTCATGTTAGAAATATTCTCTTCTGACATCACTCAGGAGGGGAGAAAAAAAGACAACCAGTTCAATGTTTGTCTCGAAAATTTTTCAGTAATGGGGAGAACACACAAAAGATGGAATTTAGTATGGACGTGAAAAGAGAAAATTAAAGAGCCTCCTTCTCACAGACCCCCCTTTCCATTCTAACCCAAAGGAGCTAGCTAGTAATAGCTCCTAGTAACGCATTTTGGAGGGAACAAGGAGCCTAGATAGAAATGCCTTAAAAGCAAGCAGATGGCTTGAAGAGAGAGATTCACAAATACAGGGCACCATGAAAATTAAAATATAAATGTTTTGAGTTCCATTTTGCCACATTTTCCTATTTCTTTCTCTTCCCTTCTTTGGCTTTAAATTCTAAACCATTCTCAAGAGCAGAGGTGGGGGGGCAAATGATCACACATTTCACAATGCCAGGTATTAGATTTACCACCAAAACAGCTTTGAATTTAAATATCCATAACCTTCAAATAATTTAACTCAATTATTTTCATCTCCCCAAAATTTTTCAAAATGATTTCTTTCCTTCATGCCTCTTTTGCCTCTGGTTATAAGAACCTTCCCAGTTTCTCAAGCATCTGACAACAAATCACACTCTATAAACAGAGACACAAACCATATTGATCATCCATAGATACTACAATTCAGTTACTTAAAAATCAGAAGCCAAACCACGGAAGAGTTTATCCCCAGGCTAAAGTTCCTAGATTATTTAAAAATATTCCCCCACACACAAAAGCACAGCACCTTCCCACATAGGAAGGGCCAAAATCTGTTCAGAAATACAGGAAGTTGAGAGAGGGGTTGAAGGGATTAAAAATATACTGAGGGCTGCTCCCAACTAAGCACAGGAAAGAAAACTGCATGGTCAACCATGTTCAAAAAGTCTGCTGTGAGAAACACGGCCCTTACACTCTACAGCCAGAGTTCAAGCAAAGACTTCAGAATTCAAGGCAGGCTGGGAAAGGCACCCTGAATTTCAGGGGAGCAAGATGGAGATACCCCATTTTGCTGGAAAAAGACGGAAGACAGGGTAAAAGGAACTCACATGAGAACACACACACACCCCCATTCATCCCCAGAGTTCTAGACCCTCCAAAGAGCCCCAGCTCACAGCCTGCTCACAAAGCTCTCACCCCAGATGGTCCCTGGTAACAATGGGCTGAAGGAGTGGGGGGGGGGGGGGCTGGAAAGGGATAGTACAGCTAAAGCACATTCTTTGCAAATCCAGTTCAAGGGGCAATATAAGATGTGAGGGGCTGGGGAGGAGGGTCTCTGAGGTGCAACAAAATCCGTGCCTGTAGCAGAAATTAACACAGTATAAGGAGATTCTAATGGGGGTAGCTTGGCTGTTCATTACTTCACCCCCAATTGGAAAAGGATTCCCTCGAATCCACGTTCAAATTATGATGTGAATGAGAAAAACCGAAAAAAAAAAAAAAAAAAAACGAGGCCTGGCAGGAAGTTGAAGAAATCACCCCCGCCATGAGTTTTTGAACTTTCCGTATTTAAGCTTCCCAACAAAAATGGTCCCACACTTTGAACTAACTCCACGGGACTTCTTACTCTATGGAATTTTTTTTTTCTCTTTAATTTCTTCAAGTAACATCTTTTGGCCCACCCCAGTCCCAAGTTGTTGATTTGCTAATTTTTCTTTTTAGGCTGTAAAACAACCATTACAAGATCTTGGCCAATCTTCTCCCAGCCCCCAACATCCGGAGTTGGGGGTGGAAAGGCCAGTAATGAGTTTATTCCACTGGAGACGCTATGGATCCCCTTAATATTCCTCTCAGTTCCCCCAAATGAGCTCTTTCCTACCTTTGTTTTTTGGGGACCGAGTGTTCAATCTCTAGTCGTTTTCCTTGTAGTTCCACTTTCCCTAAAGATTAAAAAAAAATGAATGAGGGTAACAGTGGGGGATGGGGAGAAAGGTTGGGTAAGGGACATTAGCTAAATTCAAGAATTCCTGGGTCTCCTAGGATCTAGCCTATAGCTGCCGAAGGCTGTGTGAGGAAAGGTTGCTCCAGGCATGATAAAACCGGTAATTTCGTTGTTTTTCAAATTTCCGTTTTATTTCCACTAATCACGTGGGCTAGTTGAACAGACTGCTCTGAGAGCCAGATTTAGGAAAGGTGTGAGAGCGTTTGTGCGAGCGCACGGCTTCTGCGAATCCCAGAAGTAGAAGGAGCCAGGGGGACGGAGCACCCGGTTTCTCAATGTGGGGTGGGAACAGAGTATCCAACTTTATGTTCCGGCCAAGCCACGGGGCAGAGCTTCGGCGACAAGGCGTCACCTGTCGGGGCCGGAGGGCGAGCGGAGGCCCCCGGAGGGGGGGCGGTGGGGAGGGTCCCTGGCGGCAGCCGCGCGCCTCTCGGCTCGGCCTCGGCGTCTCGGGAAGCAGCATGGCGACCCGGCGCCGCCGCGCCACCCGGCTCACGCCCCACTTTCAAATCAAAATGGCTCAAGCCCCAGGCCTTGGGCGGGAGCCCCTTCCTCCTACGTCCTGTCTCAAGGCTTGTCCCCAGAAGAGCGGGAAGACACCCGAGGAGCGGGAACACCCCTCTTGGAAAGGCCTAGGAGGGCGAGCATGGGCGTGGGGGGGGCTTTCAGCGGAGGGGGGCAACGGGGAAACCACGCCTAGACCCGGACCCCGGTGTCCGCGAGACCCCCACCCCTACCAGTTGCCAACGGGGGCTCCCGCCCCGTCGGTGGGGGGGGGCAAGGAGCCACGAGCGTCCCGGGCTGGGGGAAGGAAGAAGGAAACCCCGACTATGTCTGCGTGGGGAGGGGGCGTCGAGGGAGTTCGGTCGAGGCAGGGTACAGAGGCCGAGCCCCGCGGGTCCGGGAAGAGTTGGCGGGCATGGAAAAAGAGGAGCTGCAGGTCTCCGTTGTTCGGGATTTCGTTGTGTGGGCTTTTTTTTTCCCCCAGGGAGGTGGCCACGCTCTTACCCGAGAAAGTTTCGATGGCCTTCATCGCCCAGTGCTCGTCGGGGCAGTCCACGAAGGCGTAGCCGGATTTGACCAAGAACTGGCCGCTGTAGGAGATCTTGTGCTCCGCAAATACTTTCTCCAAGTCGGCTGGAGTCACGCTCTCGTTGAGGTTGCCGATGTAAAGCTTGTTCATGGTGGCGGTGGCAGGGCAGGACGCGGTCCCGGGCAAGGCCGAACGGGCGGGCGCGGGCGGAGAACCTCCTAGGCCGAGAGGCGTGGAGGCGGGCGGCGGGAGCTGCAAACTTTCTACGCACCCCACCCCTGAAGTTGTCCGGAGCTCCGGGCGGGTGGGCGGCCTGAGGGCACACGGAGGTCACGGGAGAGTTCGGGTTAGCCCTGGAGAAGTGCCCGCGGAGCGCAGGGAAGTGGACGACGCGGCGCGCTGCTCCTTCCCTTCGGTCCGAAACCCCTGCGAGCGGGCTGGTGTGTCACGTTTCTCCGCGGCCGCCCTGGCGCCGCCTCTAAATAAAATCGACTAGGAAAAAAAAAATGGAGCGGAAAAAAAAAAGGCGAAGCCACGTGGTGACAGCCCCCACCCACCCTGCAGGGAAAGACCCCCGACGCCACCGGGCCCCTTGGCCCTCCAACCTGGACCAACCCAACAGTCTCAGGACTTGGGGGGGCACTCCGCGCGCCCCCGGAATAAACCAGGAAGGTGGAGAGAGTCCCCGAAGCTCTCCTCGCCCCCTCCCCCTTTGCAAGAACCTGGCCCCTAAGGCGGCGCCCCGCCCCCACCCATCTTGCCACTGTGACCTGCAATGGGGGAGGGTGGTGGCGACCCAAATCTCTCCAGTCTTTAGGACTAAAATGTACGGTTTTTTTTTTTTTTTATTCGTTTTGTGAAGACTGGGTTGCCCACCCCACCCCGGTAAACTGCGAGCGACTGACAGGCGGGGGACGGCCGAGACAGACAAAGAGAAGCTGAGGACTCTGGGGTCTTCAGGAGGGGGTCGCAAGAACCGGTTATTTACAAGGAAAGACGCCTTCCCTCCACATTTCTAAGTAGGGGGTCACTGTCTTCCCCGCCACACCCCCACGAGACTTCCCTTGGACTCCCGGGTCCAGATCCCGGGGACCCTGATTGCGCGGGACCAGGAAGCTGAGAACACGGGGGACAGCGCCTGGGAACGAGGGACCCGCAGCACACCGTGTTTCGGGATCCCCACTGGTGGAAAGCTGGCTCGCACCCAGTCCAGCTGCTGGATGACAACACTCCAGCGTTCTTGGGGAGAAGCCCGCCACCCGGCTCGAGATCACCCCCAAAGGACCAGCGGGGTGGGGGACAACGATGAGGGGTGGTCGCTTCACCGAGAGCCAGCGAACCAAAGGGGGGTTGGTTTCAGAAGGGAGTGACCGGGTGGAGACCTGAGAGTCCCCTCGCCCTCCCCACGCCAGGAGCGGACAGGTGGAGTCGCCTGCGTCCGCTCCACCCGAGATGTTAAGAGCGGCTGTCCACGCGCAGGGTTTGGGTCTCGGAACTTAGTTTGGGGTACTAGATTTTGGAAGGCCGCCGTGGGGTGGGGAGGGGGGGCGAGGCCCCGCCCACGTCCCCAGGTCAGCCCCGAGCGGGGAGGGGGTAATTTCCGCTCGACGCTCGAGGAAGCGCGAGGCGGGGGAGGGGGCTGCGGCCCTCCTTCTCACCCCCCCCCATGGGGAGGGGGAAGTGGATCCGCCCAGGTCCCTTCCCTCGGCCGGGGCCGACGCGTTCCGGATCCTCCGGCTCCGGGAGCTTGAGCGGAGTGGGCAGGGGGCGACACGTGGGCGGTCGCACCCCGTCTGCGCGGTGGGGGAGGGGTCCGCGCGCTGGAGTCCGGGACACGCAGCGGAGCGCGGGATGCATTGCACGCGCAATCCCGGGATCCCCGGCTCGACGCGGGGGACACCGAGTTTCCTGCGGCGGAGGCTGGGGATACGCCAGCGGGTGTTGAAGAGCGCAGCCCGGGGACTCGGGAGAAGCCCCCTACCCAGCCGTCGTGACGAAGGGGGCCGACGACCACTCCCCCCCTCAAGAAAGAAGGATGTTCCCTGATCCGCGCGAGTCTGCGGGAGGGAGAAGGGTTGTCTGGGGCACGCGTGCTGCAAGGGCAGGTGAAAGGGGATCATTCTCCCCTTCCCCCGTCCCGACCCCATTGTCTCAGTCGCCTGCGGCCCGAGCCGGCTCCGTAACACGTGTTGACTGCAAAGATATGAATGGCTTGAATCTTTTTTATTGTTATTTTTTCGTTTGCAGAGTCCGTAAGCCAACTCCGACTTCGGCTCACCTCCCTTCTGCCGGATGATTTCCTACCATTGGAAAAGTCAGGAGTTAAAACACAACACCCAGCACCTTTGTCCCCCTCCTCGTTTTTCCGGCGCGCTGGGAAGAAATGGGGCGGGGGAGGGCTTCCAACTCGGTTTCTGAGTCTCCTCCACCACCTTCAGAATCCACTCTCTGAAATCAGCGTTTTGTTCTAGCCAGCCACGTGTTTGTCGGATTTTTTGTTTTTGTGACATTTTTCTTCCAATGAAGCAACAGGAATTTACTACTACTAGCTATTAGTTGCTTAGTAGGAAAAAAAATGTTACTGTCCATGGAGGTGGGAGACAGCTGCGTCTCTGTCCCCACATGCCCTCCCCGACATCTCCCAGCCCCCACCAACTTAGTATTTTGTCAGCTCTTGAACACAACGTAATTTTTAACAAACTAAGCCAATGAGCTGGAAACAGTGCCTGCCACATAGTAGGCACTCACAGCAAACATTTTGAATGAAAAAAGAAAAAAAAACTGCAGAGTAAAGAGAATTGAAGAAAATTCAAAGTCCAGTGGGGAGGGATTCTCTTGGCTAGAACGTGTGGTTCTGTTGCCTGGGGACTTTGTAGATTTTTGCAAAGGGCCAAAAGATGGTCTCAGGAGCTGTCTGTAATAGCCTTTGGGTCATCATAAATAGTAACTCTGTCTCCAAATCTTTTGTTATATTGGGGAACAAGAAAGAAGGTACCTAGGCAGGACATCCTAGCTCCCGAATACTTGAGTTACTGTTTGCTTCATTTACTTTAAATCTTTAGGGATTGATTAAAAAAAAAAAAAAAAAAAAAAGCACTTCTCAGATAATCTCTCTGGGTACTCTAACCACTGCTTGCTTTCTTCCTAAAACAAAAGCAATTTAACCCTCAAAAAAAAAAAAAAAAAAAACCTACCCAGACTTCTACTCTCACAAAATACAACTCATCTTTTAGTATCCTAGAGTTCATGAGAAACCAAACTATTAAAAATAGTAATTTAATTCAATTCACTTTTAAGTTGACTTTTTTTAAATTTAAGATATAACTTAAATGTTAGGGTTTTTTTTCTTTAAATGATATTAGAAGGAAAAAATAGAAATTCAGAGTAGGCTACTTCTAGTCTGTTTTTAAAATCTTTTAAAAATTATTTCATTAACAAAGTACCAATTATTTCTATTCACACTGATTCTTTTTCAAAGTTAGCTGTTTCACTAAATTCTAATCCTCTCTCCTCCCTACCCCTTCCCCCACAAGACAGGGCTTCTGTGTTTACAGTCAGAGGCTGCAAAAGTTTTTCAGGAGCCAAGAGCAGCTGGAGTGAGGGGCAGTCCTTAGCCCCCACATGAGTTTAGCACCAGTGACCTGGCTACTTCAGGTTGTGGTTGGGGGAACTAGTGGTGTTGACTGACCATTTATTTATCCCCCTGCTATGAATGTGCCCAGCACAAAAATGAATCTGCCAAAAGGTTGTGTCTTGCTAGGGTTCATATTCCTAGGTGGATGAAAGGGATAGAAGACTTTCAACTCCCTTGACTAGTGTTCTGCTTTAGTTTTGATATTAGAGACAAACATGGTGTTTTTTTCCCCTATTTTTAGCAAAAGATAAATTTTCACAGTAAAATTAAAGTTTCTGTGTGAGTTAATATATCTGAAGGAGACATTTCTCTTTAACAATTACATTTATGATGTAAAATAATATTCACAATTATAGTTATTACCTTTCTGGCTTTTTTCTCCTTTTCCTCCTCCTAGTCCATTTCTTTCCTAAAGAAATGTTTGGTCAGCTCCCCTCTTAACTTCAAAACACTGACACTGGATTCCATATTAAAGATAGAATTGTGTTCATTTTCCTTCAGTACAAACATGCAGAGGGAAAAAGTGTAAAAGAATAAAGCCACTTTTTACATAGTTGAAAACTGAAGAAGCAGTTCAAAAATAAACCAACCATTTTATTATCACACAAAATTCAATGTATTTTCTAGTGTTTCTTGCCAACGTTTTTCAGTTTGTACTAATAATCTGTTTTTTCTTTTTATATCTTTCTTTTTCACTGACTACCATGGCACTTGTTATACTGCCTCAAAGTTTTCATAACTATCTATTTGATTCAAGCTAATAGGTACAAATAATTTGTTATTGTTTATGAAAAGTGCTACACTACTTTTTAAACTTTTGTAAGTAGTGCAGGAGGGAAAATAATGCAGAAGATGTATTTTTATACATAGACTTCTTTCTGCTTTTGTATTGACTCCTTTGGGTAAATCCCCAGTATACATATTATGATTTTAATCTAACATTTAACCATGATTTCTATCTTTAAAAAAAATGATAGGCTCTATAAAAGAGAGGATAAACACATTAAAAAAGAAGAAGAGAAAACAAACCTAGAAAGCTGTTAGGGAAATTTATTAAAATAGAATTCCTTATTTGGTGTTTTCTAATGAATCATAGTTAATTTTGCTACAACTTCTTTCTTATGAAATGCAAAATAAAAGGGAAACATTTCCTGATAACACTGACTTCAAAGTTTTGGAAGTTTTGAGGTTTTTTTTTTGGTCTGAGTTTTATTTTGTTAGTTTTGTTTTTGTTTGCTTGTTTTATTGTTGTTACTGCCTTGGGATGTTTTCTTTCTTCCTGTAGTTTGAAGTGTGGTTCTTTTTAAATGCCTATAAACTTCGAGAAAGTAAATTAGTCCCAGTTTTTAAAAGGACAGGCAGCATTTTCTCCTGTCAAATAAAGAAGGATAATTATGTGTTTAGGATATCTCATGAAATGGAAGAGGACCATAAGCAAAAAAGAACATTTTCCTCATTCAAATCATCATTCACTCAAAGGAATATTTTTTAATTGTTGAGCTAGGACTACTCAAGGGATTGAGGGGAAGAACTTTAAGAACAATTTTTGTTTTCTTGAGCCAGTGTATGTGACAAAAACTTCAATTTTCAATTTTTTTCTTTACTCAGAATTAGTGTGGAAACCTTAAAGCGAGGAAGTAAATACTTGGTCGTGGTAACTTTTTTTTTTTTAATGCATGTTTCCAAATTCATTTCCTAATAAAATTCCTCTACTTTGCCTCTTTGGTAGAGGTCCAGTATGTCTAAAGCCTCCTTCATACTCTTGCTGCTTTTGCAGTTGCTGTTTTACTCCAGAGTCATTTGGTCCAAGATAATGAGCAGTTTTGTCTCCTGTGGCACAAAATGCAGACTA